AGGAGTAGTCCCACCTTGGCCTCAACATTCGATTGCCCTGAAATTTCTTCTGCAAGATTAGTCCAACACATTTAACTTGGAGCCTAACAGTGTCACACCCATGTTTAGTCTCTAGAATATTTCTATGCATCAATTACTAATTTTATTGTAAGAAACAATGAATACTTAACAGGAAAAAATCACAAAAATAAAGTATTGCATTTTTAATATTTATTGTTTACAAAAAAATAAAGAATTTCAACATTGGCTGGTTTTTAGTGTATAAATTCTATTTTTTTTAATTTTTAATTTATTTTATTTGTGTGTGTGTGTGTGTGTGTGTGTGTGTGTGTGTGGCCAGCTCAGCCCACCAGGGGGCGGGGCTGGCTGGCATGTGGTGCTGGGGGATTGAACCGTGGTCCCTGTGCTTTGCTAAGCTTGTTCTAAGTAGGTGCTTTAGACCACTGAGCCATCTCACCAGCCCCATAGTGTATAAATTCTAAAAACAAACAACAGAAATAAATTCCTATATGGTCTACAATGAAAGTACAAATACTCTTAAGAAAAAAACCTACTTCAATTATCATGCCTAAATGTCAATAAAATATCAAACATGTAATGAGGACTTAGGATAAACAATATTTTCACGTCAGCTGTGTGCTTGCTTACAAAAACCTAAGTGATAATATCAGAAAAAAGCTTATGTGAGTTGCAGTGTAAACACAAAAAAATGTCTATCACAGAAAGAATCTTTGCTTCAACTGCCACGCCCAGGGCAGTCTTCACCCATGATAACTGCATGTTCCCTGCACACGTCTTGTTTACACTTGAGGGCACATGTGCTTAGCTTCTCTTTCCTATGTGGCAGGCCAATCTTGTCACCTTTTCTCTTTCTGTTTTGTCAGGAGATTCTTACTGCGTTGTACAATATGAGCTTATCAGGGAAATAAGATATCAAAAAGATAAACTATGAAATGTGTAATAAGTGCTTAGAATATTTTATTATTTTTTTAGAATATTTTAAAGAGAATAAAAAACAATAAAAAATGAAATTTTACAAAAGATACAGAATGTCAAAGCAAGATGATAGGAAATCAACAATGTTTGTTATATTGCATCTTGTTAAAAGTAGTTTTTCAGATTGCCAGATACAGGCATACAAAATTGATCAAATGATTAGTCATTAATGGTTCCCTTCAATAAACCAATAGAAATTAGCAGTACAATTATCTTACCTACCTTTCTTTTCTCTCT